CTCAGCTCAGCTGCAATAGAACCAGATGTCAGTCAACAGAGATCAAAATACTCCAGAGTTATAAGTGTATTATTACAGGATATGCAGCTCAACCAGCACACGGATGCACTATCTTGCTTATACTGACAGACAGCTCTTTGACATGACACAGAAGAATATCTTTCATGGATTTGCTCTGAACTTTCCAGAAAGAGGGAAGACTTCAGAAATGTATGGGAATAATATCCAAGAAATACATCATCCACAGGGTTAGATCTGCCTTTGAGCATGTCATTCATAATTGGTTTTAGAAATCTTTTTAAAACTTGCAAGCATTAAAGCCAGTTGTAAGTTAAAGAAGAAAATAAACCTAAACACATTTCATTCAGCTGTTCATTTTCATCCAGGGCATTTGTTAATCAGTTTAAGGTATCTGAAACATAAATAATTGCACGTGAGCTCTAAATAAGCTTACAGTAAATATTCAGACCAAAGACCATTGTACCAAATCAAGTTCTGATTGGTTAGGTTCCTTTCCCAGCCATTATTAACATTCTGCTTTTTAATATTTTATATCTTTATTTACTTTTAAAGGCCAAAGTAATCTTTTTGAGAGAACCTCTGTAAGTTCTTATTGGGTACAGCTGAAATTTAAGATGCTGAGCTGCTCACACATGGCATTGAGGACTTCAAAGACCTGTCGTTTTTTGTTTCTGTTTTTTTTTTTGGTTTTTGTTTTTTTTTCCCCCCCCACATTTTTCAGATTGGGCTACAGAACAGGTTCTCTGGGCTCCTTTCACGTTCAAAAGGAAGTTGAAAAAGGCAACTCAAGACAGACTCCTTTAACCATTCTGAAGAGCACTTCAGTGAACATGAATTAGGTCAGACACAAAGCTAAAACCTGTTCTTCCAAACAGTAGAGTTTACTTAAATGGATAGAGAAGCTTCATTAATTATACAAAAATCATCGTACATTTATTTTCTGGAGTTTATACAAAAAGTTGTTAGAAATATGGTATGTTACTCAGTTGGAAAGTGACTGGATAAAATATCCAGCAAACTAGATAGCTTCACTTTAATTTACAGGCTTTTTTTGCTTACTAACAAAGGTTGTTTTTTTTGTTTGTTTTCAATATATGGAGGTATAAAGGCATATCCTTGAAAAAGTTAAGCTTTTAATCCCTTCTATAGTTTAAATAATTTATGATCTTTTTCTATTCAGAATGACCTACTTTTAAAAACAATTTCATAACTCTGGGTGTAGGGAAAATTAATCACAGATATCTGATCATTGTTTCAGACCAGGACATAAAACATTCCAATGTTTATTGGGACACAAAACAATTTTTCTTCAAAACACTACTCAAAAATCAATCTGGAAACAAGTGATTTTCCCACCCACATGAGCAGACAAGAATGCTCATTAATATTTTGTTTTCTTTGGGTCAGAGCCTATCCCTTTGGCTTGTTCAAATAGTTTCATATAGTTGTATTGGAATTAACAATTCTGTTGAGATGTTCTCAGTTTTATAAGAATAGTTTTAGAAACCATTTATTATAAAATTAAGTCTCTAAGTAATGTTATTTTTTTAAAAAAGAGTAATTATGTAATTTATATGTAATTATTTTTATTTGTCCTTCACCACTGTAGTATTTTAACACCATCTTATGCCTTTCAACTGTTCAAGGACTCCTTTGTGGCATTTAATGCTGTAAAATAGCATCCTGTGATGCCTCCAACTCCACTAAGTCTTCTTTGAGGAAAATGTATATAAGAAATAATACATATTGTCACGTAAACCATGGTTCTACAGTTACTAGAGTGGTCACATAAAATAATCCACAAAGTACCATGTGTTGTATCCTAGAGGTCACTTAAATGCATAGAGAAGCCCACAGTAGGCCACTGAGTAGTCCCACCAAAAGAGAAAAAATCAATTATATAAGTAATGGTTACTCAGCCTGTCTCCTTCTGCATACTGCCTTTTGAATATTTTCCTTAAGACAGAAGGGAAGATGGCATTTTTTTGCCACCATCGATACTTAAAAAAGTTATGAAAAAACCTTCAAGTAAATTGAAAATACATTAAAAAAAAAAAAAAAAAAAAAAAAAAAAAAGAAGAAAATCAAAACAATAAGAGCTTTCGTGGCACTTCCTCCCTGGTATTGCTCCAGTAATGGGACTGATATTAAAGAAGAACGGATTTGGCATAAAACCTGTCTCATTTAACCCAATGTAATCCAGCCCTCAATCACTCAAATCAGCATGAGAAAAGAATCAAGCTGTTCAGGGAGGATCATTTTCACAATAAATCAATCAATGAAAGATTCTTTTATGGACTAAAAAAGGAATAGGAGCAAAAGTGTCCTTTGTTTACAGAGCTGCTTTCCCAAAGGAACAAGGAATATGGTTTCTAGCAGTCTTAGCAGGAAATGAATACCAATATATTATATTTTCTATATATTGATACATCTTTATGTGATGTCAGTTAAATAAAAAGTAAATCTCTCTTGTACAATCCTGTTAATACCTTATTAAAAGACACAGCGGGGGGAAAAAAAGGGGTTTCTAACAACTTGGAAAAGTCCAGTCAGGGTACCTACAAGTGGAATGGACTATTAATAACAACAAAAAAAGTGTTGTTTAGAATTTAATTTGTCTATTTTTTGTTATATAGAAGCTTACCAGACATAATTGTAACTGCAATAACGATGTCTCTTTTTAGGAATGCAAGAAAATCTTTGACATTAAAGCAGCCCTTACAAAATAGTGAGATTAATGTTCAGTTTTCAATTACCATTGTAACTCACTGAGTTAAGTGAAAGATTCAAAGTTGAGAAGTAAGCGAAGAGTAAGAACAAGAAAGCTAAAGAATAAACATCATTAAAGAGGATCCTTGGAACAGAGACGTTCCTGCTTGTGTAACTTTTTTTTTTTTTTTTTTTAATACATTGATGAAACTTCTAGTGATGGACAGCAGGACATGTCTACTAAGCAACCTGGAAAGCTTGCACACACCACAGTGCCCTGTGTTCCTTTTCTTGATGCTGGAGTGTTCAGTGGGTTGTTTGTATTTGTTGAAGTGGACAAAATCAAACCCAACAATGAAAAACTGTACTTTACGCTTCAAATGTGCTACATATGCCTTTTTACAGATCCAATTAATATAGCCTGAAAGTCAATGTTAGAATTACTTTTCTCTTGGAATTCTGTTTATTCAGCTGTACTATTGTAGTGACTTCATTTATTAGCAATTGGTGTGTTTGATATAGAAAAAAAAGGAAAAAAAAAAAAGTAGAAGTATTTAAATAAAAATAATTTTTACTTCATTGTAAGAATATTTTACAGGCTACAAAAATATAGCGAGTTGAATTAAAATTTGCCCAGTAGTTTTTTTCTTATAGAATATTGCCTTAAATGTCCATATGTTCTTGCCAGTTATGCTTCAGAGGAAAAGAGTAAAGTAAAACTTGTTTAATAAAAGTGGTAGTAGACATGTTGCTTTATGAAAAGCAATTTGGAACACAAAATTTTATTTTTCTGTTTGTTAATTTTAGCAGATCTAATGGAATAATGGTTATCGTTATGGAATTATTATTGTGGGTAACATTTGCCAGTCTCTTCAACACACAGAAGAGCTAAGTAAACATCAAATTTGTACACTTTAAATGATTCCAAGATCTACCCCTCTTGGTGCTGAAGTTAATGACACTGTTTTAAGTCTGTTCATTACCAGCTGCTTTGGAGTACTGATATTCTAATGATTTCTTTCTCAGATATGCCTGAAGTTAACATTAATACATCATATTTAAGGTGAAAGAGTGACCTCAATTCAAAACTGGCTACATGCAAATACATAAAAATGACAGACATCTTATATCACATGTTTCACTAGGTTTTTCACAGAACTCTCTAGGAGGTTTTATGACAGAGTGATATGACTTGTTCTATTAATGATACCTGATACATTACAGAAATAATTTTATATTCATTTTCATTCAAAAACTTTAAAAAATGTACATTTTGTAACATAGTTAATCTAAAACAAAAGCTAGTCTTCTAGCAATGGGATTATTTATAGCAGAGTCTGCTTCACAAAACCGTCATGAGAATCAGTGAGGACTAAACCAGACAAAATGAAGCTATCTGGATAGTCAGTAAGAATTCCGGGTAGTACTAGTTGCTGTATATACTTGTTGAACTCATCAACATTACTTTTGAAATTTGACCCCTGGTTCTCATTGGCCATGGATCATCTGAGATATATTCTTTGCAGATAATGACAAACTAAATGTCTTTGTCCAGCATCAACAAATCATAATAAATTATATTTCATTGCATTAGAATAATATCATATAGCTAAGAACCCCCATTTTTCTTATCCTATCATCAGATATTTTCTGAAGGAAGTTAGGATTATACAACTCAGTGGAATTCATGAAAACAGAAACACTGTGAAAACACTGCTTTGTGATAAAAAACCACAATACAAACTGCTCCATACTCATAACAGTATTCTCATGACACTTATGAACATAATACCAATAACGATTAAAAGCTACCAAAGCTCTACCAGTTTTTCCTATTTCAGATGCATTATATAGTGATTTTAAAAAGGTGTGCAGTAATGAAACAGTATAATTCTTGAGCTTTCTGCATTTATACTAATTTCCAAGTAAAAAAAAAGAAATTACCTTTTAACAAACTGCCACTTTGAAAATTTTGAAAACTTACCTAGTTATGGTAAGTAAGGATCCTACTATATCTGAAACAAAAAGCTATGTTTAATGGGGTGTTAGAATTAATACTACCCGATAGTAGTAAAAAAGACAGACAAGAAAAATCTAGCTAGATCTAATTTAGTCACATACTTCAAATACTGTTTTCTGATCTGCAATACTTTTGCTGGGTATTTCAGATTGTTTTCCTCCTTACCATCAGCATGATAGTAAACCATACTTTATCCCTGAAGAGAAATATAAAAATTAAACAGTAAACCCACAAGTTTAAGACCCCTTACCCTCTGGGTTTTCTGGGCTCCTCTTGCTTCTCAGTGTTACAGACACATGGAAATGACAGAATTTCCTACATCCTTTTCTCATCTGCACAGTACTGGGACTTGGCCAAGGGGATTATTTACAGCATTAAGGCCACTCCACAGTAACGTGTAAAAGATTCTCATTGGTCAGGCTTTATCAAAACTAAAACCACATTTTTCTTTTACATACAAGTCATTTATCCAAAATAAATAGTTCACTGAGTATTGCCTTATTCAATTTTTATTTCTTCCTCCCTTTCTAAACTGAAGACTGAGACTCTAGTCCCCCAAATATTATGTTTAAGCCTAAATTAATTATTCTAATCACAGTAGCTAAGAACAGGTACTAGTCTTTTCCAGGTTGGATGGTTTCTCATGCCGCTACTTGCTCTTAATATATCACCTGAATATGTTACAATAAAACTAGTTTTCCCCCTGCATGACTGTATATTATCTAGCTAATATATGTATTTTCATAATTGACTCAGTAATTAGCCAGAGGCTAATTATTATTATTATGAACAGTATTATGGACATTATTATGAAAAACTGTAGTATTTTAGATTATCAGAGATATGGAAAGAACATGGTAAGGAAAGGTAAAAACATACCAATTTTGAAAAGCTAATTTCTGAAAACTGAAATACCTTTGCATTAAAATTTAAAATTACAGTACTAAAATAGGAGGTATAAAATATTTCTTTAAGGAATATAAGCTCAAACATCTTTGTAACTCACATATGACAAAGCATGACACCCCTGTCCCAAGACTGATATCACAGGCCACCTAAATGACAGGTCCTTTGACATAGAACTGATATAGTTGGACACAGCTGAAATGAGTTGTCACAGCTCTGAAAAACTAAACATTTCTAATTAAAAAACCCTCATCATACACAGAATACTGACAATTCCTATGTCACAACCTCAGACTGAGAAGCCAGATTTCCTTACTCTTAGATTTACGGAATATATCTCCACTTCCATACTAATTACCTTTTAACACCAGTATAGCAGGTAGTCTTTTCATCATGAATAATAGCTACGGCTGCAGAACTCCTCACTTAAATAAGGGGATTGTCTGATGCTATGATTTTTTTTTTATTTTATTTTAAGTAAATGAACAAATGGTACCTCCCAATCCCATCAATTACAGGGGCATTATGTGACTTCCGGGACTCAAAATCTATTCCACTGCCAGGAGACAATAGACATTTCTATTAAAAAAAAAAAAAAAAAAAAACAAAACCAAAACACAACAGCACAAAAAAAAACAAACCAAACCAAAAACAAATGAACAAACATAACCCAAAAGCAAACAAACAAAAAACCCCAAAGAAACAAAAAACCCCCCCCACACACACACAAAACAAACAACAAAAAAAAAACCCACAGAAAAAAAAAAAAACTTACAACAAAAATACCAAAGGAAAAAAAAAATTCCCAAACCAAAGCAAAAATCCCCCTAAACCCAAGACAAACAAACCGCACAAAACCCCAAGTCAAAAAAACAAAAAAACCCAAACGCAAAACCCCCAAAATCCACCACAACAAAACCAAACCCTGAGACTTTTTCAAATTAAAACCAACAAAAAGCCCAACAAATTGTGGATCCAAACAATAAAATAATAAGACAACAGCTACTTTATGCATGTTCCACAGTTTCTTAAGCAACTACATAAATCTCACTCCCCACTAGAATGCTGACTACATTCCATTATCCCTATTGTAGGAAGTAAATTCACATTTTAAAACTCTAGTTATGTGTACATAATAACTTACATGGTACTTTATTCCTTTGTAACAAACCATATTTCAATCCATTCATGAGATACAGAACTCATTTTCCACCATTCTTCACCTACTGCAATTTCTAATTGCATCCAAGAAGTCTGTTCCATTGCCCATACTCGAACAAATTCTGTTTCTAAAAAAAATTGGTACACATTCTTTTTATATAAGAGGATGTTAAGTAATACTGATCACAACTGAAAATATCTTCACAAGAGAAGATCTGTAACAGAGAATTTGTCACTCAAAAATTACAGAAAAATAAAAAAATGTCAGTACACCCATGTGAAGGAAGTAGTACTGATGGAAGTACTGTAAGCATATATTGAATTCTTTGCCACAGATGTCTTAAAAATCCTCAAAGTTTCTTTTTCAGTTATTTTCTCTTGGAGATCCATTAAAAATAAATAAATAAATAAAGGACCACTGTCATTAACTACTTTTATGTGGAAGGAAAACCATATTCTTCAGAAGAGGAACAAAAAAGAATTATGTATAATAGACCAATAATAAAGCTATAACCAAAACTCAGGTTCTATTCTGTTACATTCTGTGGTAAACACCAATTCTTGGAGGAATCTTGATTTTATGACATTGTTAAAGATGCATTTAAATTTAATTAAAAGATTATACTGTAAATTTGGGAAGTTACCGTGTGGAATTGTATGGACCAAATGATGCAGATGACATGTATTATAAGCTTTGAGGAAATGTATCAACTTTCATAAGAGAATCAAATTTTTAAAAAACAAAACCAAACCCCAACAAAACCAAAAACTTCATACTAAATAAGCTTGTGAATTGCAACTCTTCATGATGCTAAGGAACTACTAGGGAAAGTACTATGAGGTACTATCAAGGAAAGGTAGCAAGGAACCTGACACACCTATAGTGCTAGATTTGATAAGCAATTTTAAATATTTATTGAAAAAAAATAATTGGAGTAGTCAACTATTTTTATATTTTTACTTGCAAATATATTCTTCCTTTTCAGTCTCATTTGACCACTGACTTTGCTGTTAGGTCTACCATTGTAATAATTACAGGGCAGATGTTGCCAGCGTTTAAGCTTGCTAACACATGACCTTCATATAGGGAGCTGAATTATCTTCCTAGAAGTCTCCAGGTACGTAAACAATTCTGAGTAAATTCATACTAAGAAAATCCATCATGAGAATGAGATTATAGTCATTATTTCTGTAAGAAAATTATACTTAGAAAATACGATCAAGATCGTAGGCAGCATCAGTAATCTAGAACATATGTTTTGATACATAGTGCTAGCTGTCAACTGGACTGTTGCACCTCTGACTAGTGTGGGATGGACTCCCTTCATTTTGAGTACATTTGAAATTTGACATCATGCCTGACCTGTTTTTTTCAAGATCCACATAGCAGCACTAACAGAATATGAAAGCCAAATTTTGAATTTTTAAGTGTCAAGACCCATCCCTTTGAGGTCACAAAGGAAAATACCTGATCCTTTTCAAGATTACTGAGTCTATGAAAAAGATAAATTTGTCTCAGAGGAGAAAATTAGAGCAAGTCTTTTTCAAAAAATATAAAATTTAACAGTGTTTACTATACTGATGCAATTTTCTTAGCAGATGTAAGAAATTAAATCGCATTACTGTTCAAGCCAAAAACAATAAAACACTTCAAGCACAAATAATAATAAATCAGAACATTCTTATTAACTATATTGGAAAATAGAGAGAGATATGAAGCACTAAAATTCGAACCTTCTGAAATTGGACTTCCTCAAATATTCTCAAAAAACACATGAATACGCCAGTTCTTTTTTGTCAATGTAACTCATTTTTAATCTTCCTATTATTTCATATCATTCCACACAATTTCATACAAGTGAAGCAATAAACATTACAATGTATCTGAAAACATAAGGATAGAAGGTCATCCTTTACTATACCTCAACCTCAGACATGATCCCTTAAACAATGAAAATAAATAGAAGATAATAAGACAGTAGAAGGTACCTTCAAAGCATGAAGGAGAAGATGGGGCAAAAAAGTCATATAATTTTTGATCTCATCTCTGCAGCAAAGCCCTAACTTACATAAGAAAGAAGAAATGAGTCAGTAACCAAAATCACCAGAAACAAGACACCACCAAACCTCATGCATAAACTAGTCAGTGTGGAAAACCATGGTGCAATTCCATTTCTTTGATACACAGACTAGGAAGAAAACAGTTAGTGTAATTATTTTCTAGAATCTCTATTTAAAATTAGAAATTCGAAGGAGGAATAATATTCCCTCCCCATTGCTATTTTCTTCTAAGTTCTAGCACGTACTAAGCAAGCAATCATAACAAAATTTTGCTTCTATAACTTTTCAATTCAGTAGCATTAATTTGACATCACCCATTAACAATAGTAACCTAAAAACTTAAGTAGTGCTCTTTGAACAAAATAGTCATCACATAACAAGGACACTTGTCATAAAACCTTCAAATAAGTCAACAATAGCCTACACACAAGCATAAAAGAATTACATGAATAAAACCACTTACGCATTTAACACCTCCTACCTGATTAACTTTGAAACAGAACATAAAACTTACAAACAGCATCAAATAGCAATGTTTTGAGGAAACAATTTTAATCTGGCATAGTGATAAAATGTAACAGGATGAAGTTTATCTAGAAATAATACTTTGTTCAGCTTGTTAATCCAGTTCTGACTTTAACTGTGCAAGTTAAATTGATTCACAGGTACAAACAGTTACAGCAGCTAAATGCAGACAATTTAACTTGTACAGGTCTGTGCTGCTGGTTGAAGTTCTTTGCTTATTAGAAGTGAAACAGGAAAAAACTACATATTTCATTTGACTAGTGTCAGGCTATTCAGCACCTCACAGCATGTATGGCAGAGTTGTGGTAAGATTACTTTCATTCTTAAAGACTCACTGTAAATATAGGCTTCACTCTCTGCTGTTCATTACATTCTTTAGTGGAAATTAATGCATAACACCTGAAACTGGACTGCTCATTATACATCAACATACTTCAACAGGCCTCAGCTTGGCAGAACTACCACTGATTCCCAATATCCAGAAGTATAAACAGAGAAGGTAATACAATAATCTCTAAGTTTGAAAATTTCTGTGTATTGGAAATTATTCCCACATGGTAGCAGAATTTGAGTGTATTATATTTAAAAACAAAAAGTTAAAAAAATAAATAAATCAAGAGAAGTCAGGTCAGTTATTTCAAGTGTTCCTGATTTTTATTCCAGATGTCTCCTGACAAGCTGATGG